AATAAATACATAAAATCTTAAAAAAAAAAAAAGTTATCATTTAGGGGCGCCTGGGTGGCTCAGTCAAACGTCTGCCTTCGGCTCAGGTTGTGATCCCGGGGTCCTGGGATCTAGCCCCGCATCAGGCTCCCTGCTCAGTGGGAGCCTGCTTCTCCCTCTGCCTCTCCCCCTGCTTGTGCACTCTCGCTCGCTCGCTCTCTCTAGCTTGCTCTCTCCCAAATAAATAAAATCTTAAAAAAAAAAAGTTATCATTTACAAGAGCACCAAAATCTGATGGTCCTAGGAATTAAACTGATAAAGACGTGCAGGACTATTATAGAGAAGATCATGAAACTTATGACAGCTCATTGGTTAGTCTTTGGGACACGGAGAGACACACAGACATGGGTCAGAAAGCTTAATTTTTGTTTTAATTATCTGCCTCTGTGTAAAAAAAAATCACGACTAAACTTAGTGGCTTAAAACAACCACCATTTTTTTTTTTTTTATTCGAGATTCTATTCAAAACCTGCTGGTCCAGCTGGTGGGCTCCCCCCCATCCCCTCCAACCACTCTCTCTCTCTGTGTCTGTGTCTCCCCCTCTCTCCCCCGCGTGGCCTTCTTCCCACGACTCTCCCCCACTCTGCCTTCTTAAGGCTTGGGCCCAGAAGTGCCTCACCCCTTCTGATCAAAGTCACTCCCAGGGCCAGCCCAGACTCCGGGGAAGCCTGCATGGGCAAAGACATCCGCCAGAGGCCAGAGGGGGCTCATGAGCAGAGCTGGACTCGGACTGAGGCAGCAAGCGTTGAGGACACGGTCCCCTTCTAAAAGCCAGTGCCTCTGTTGGTGTGGGGCCAGTGAGCCTGAATCTGCCTAACCCAGCACACGAATGGCCCCAGGCAACTCACACAGCCTGTTTTCCCACCTGTCACAGTGCAAGATAAAGCTAACACTGACCCGGCAGGAAGAGGGCTGAGGTGTAATTTGCAAAGCGATTAATATATGACAAATACAAGGATTTGTAGAGTGATGTATAATGTTTGTGAAGAGACTGATGTGAGGTGAGGGTTGAATAAGGGGGTTCTAGCTCCTTCCTCTTCCTGGCCTCTCACTCAACTCCTCTGACGGGATCTCAGGATCCTACAGCCCCAGGAACCTGCCTGGCAGCCATGACAGTTCTCTCTGGACGTTGGAGAAACCCTGTTTGGCTCTGGGCCTTCAGAATGGAGTGTCCCCCAGCAGGGCAGGATCCCCAAACGTTGCCCAGTGAGGCTCCTCCCTCTGGGCTCCACAAAGCCCTGCCCTCAGCCAGGCAGCCAGGCAGCCGTGGAGAATCTGGAAAGGGAGCAGGCTGTGCTGACAGCCTCTGGCAAGCCACCTACTGCAAAGGGAATTTACAATGGGCCAGGAGCACCTGCTGTCTAGGGCAGCTTAGCATCTCCAGATCCGAGCGGACCTGAGCACCCTCTTCGAGAGAATGGCTGGCTTGTCCTGAGGCCCCCAGTGCCGGAGACAGACACTGGAGCGGGCTATGTGGGGGCCTCCAGGGGCCTCCAGGCTGGGCTCTGTGCAGGAGGAGGTGACTCCACCAAACCCCCTGGAGAGGGAAGTTGACAGTGACCAGGGGAAGCCTCAGGAGCTGTGAGCCCTTCAAGGGGTGGACACCTGCCAACCTCCCTCCACTTCAACAGGGCACAACCAGGCAAGGATGCCACCCAAATTTAGCGTGCCCCAGGAGGGAGGGAGCAGCTTTGAAAGCCAAGAGCCACCTATGGAGTGAGGAGAGTGAGTGGGGGTGCTAGGATGGGGCAGCGGGCAGGGCTGGGGCATTGCGAGGCAGAGGGTCTGGGGAGGGACGCTGCTGGTGAGAGGGAGTGGAGCTGTGTCCACTCTGGCCTTCCTTTGGTTGGCTCCTGAGACCCCCCAGACACAAGGTCCTGTCCCAGACTGTGGGAGGTCCTGGCTCAGGAGTCCCAGAAGTAGGGTTCCTGGGGCCTGGGATGCCCACCCCCAGCAAGGACATAGCCAGCAGCTGGGACAGCGTCTGCCTCAGTGTGTGCTCAGCCAGAGCCCTGCCCGAGGGTGGCCCTGGGACCCCCAAGCTTCCCCAGTGGCCAAGGAGCCTTAGGGGAGGGAAATGGGCGGGGCGGGGGGAGACCTCAGCGTGGAAGGAACAGCCTGGGACATAAAGGGCACCGTTTCCTCTCGGACCGTGGGCTCCACAGCCAGCTGGTCCATAGACTGGGGCCCCGGGGGAATGCGGTCTTGCTGCCCCACCAGACTGGGCCCCCAGGCCTCCCCTCCTCCGCTTCGGGTGACCCCACAGGGGTCAGCAGAGGACGCGGGCGTGACATTTGCCAGGTTGCTGGCCGCTGTGCGGATGTCCACCCACAGGCACAAGTCTCGCAGGACACAGACGCAGAACCTTTTATTGCACAGCGCACGGGTGTCCGGCGCGGGGCTGGCGTGGAGGGCGGCCCGGGCGCGGCGGGACGGGTCAGCGGCTCGGCCAGAGGAGCGTGAAGGCACGGCGGCTGCAGCGGAAGTCCGGCTCTGGCTGCTCGGGCTTGGGCTCCACGGAGACGAGGCGCCGGGCGCCGCGCTGGCTCAGGGGGATGCAGTCGGAGACGCGGACCTCCAGGGCCCTTCCCTGCCTGAAGCGGGGGCGGGAGGGCGGTCAGGGGGCGGGGCCGGGGCCGGGAGGG